ACTGGAGCCGAGGTAAACAGGTTCTTCAGATGATTGAACGCCCTGTCCGCCTCAGCTGACCACCGCAGGCGCACCGGTCCCCCCTTCAGCAACGAGGTAATGGGAGCCGCTACCTGACCAAAGCCCCGGATAAACCTCTGGTAGTAATTGGCAAATCCCAAAAATTGCTGCACCTCCTTCACCGTGGTTGGAGTCGGCCAATTACGCACGGCCGAAATGCACCCTAGGAAGGAGATGGACTCCTAAAAGAACAGGCATTTCTCCGCCTTGGCATACAGGTCATGCTTCAACAGTCGTCCAAGTACTTTACGCACCAGGGACACATGCTCGGCCCATGTAGCGGAGTATATGAGAATGTCATCAATATACACCACTACCCCCTGTCCGTGCAGATCCCTGAAAATCTCATCGACAAAGGCTTGGAAGACTGATGGAGCATTCATCAACCCGTATGGCATGACGAGGTACTCATAGTGTCCTGAGGTGGTGCTGAAAGCCGTCTTCCACTCATCTCCCTCCCGAATACGAACCAGATTGTACGCGCTCCTGAGATCCAATTTCGTGAAGAAGCGCGCCCCGTGCAGTGATTCCGTCATACATGCTATCAGAGGTAAGGGATAGCTGTACTTGATCGTGATCTGATTTAGCCCACGGTAATCAATGCACGGGCGTAAACCACCATCCTTCTTCACGAAAAAGAAACTTGAGGAAACAGGTGAAGTGGAGGGCCGAATGTATCTCTGTCTCAGAGATTCTGAGACATATGTTTCCATAGCTGCCTTCTCCGCCTGTGACAGAAGATACACGTGACTCCGGGGAAGTGCAGCGCCTACCTGGAGATTTATCGTGCAATCCCATCGTCCGTGGTAATTTAGTCACCCTCTTTTTACTGAAGGCGAGAGCCAAATCGGCATACTCGGAAGGAATGTGCACTGTGGAGACCTGGTTTGGATTCTCCACCGTAGTAGCCCCCAAGGAAACCCCTACACACCTCCCTGAGCACTGACTGGACCATCTCTTGAGAGCCCTCTGTTGCCAGGAAATAGTGGGATCATGAGTGGTTAACCAGGGAAGTCCCAACACCACAGGATGCACAGGAGAATCAATCAGATAGAGACTAATCCTCTCCTCATGACCCCCCTGCGTCCTCATTAAGAGTGGTGCGGTAACCTCCCTGATTAGACCTGACCCTAGCGGGCGACTATCTAATGCATGGACAGGGAAGGGCACATCAACACGAACAGTAGGAATCCCTAAACTATGAGAATATTGACGATCAATAAAATTGATCGAGGAGAAAACTCTGGAAACACAACCTCTATACACAACTGACCAACAGGGAGCTCTGGGTGAGTCGGGTGCTTACTCACCTGAGATGGTCGACCAGTGCTCTGCTTACTGCCTCGACTCCCTGGGGACCCTCCCCAGCACCGACCCGCAGTGTGTCCTCTGCGGCCACAGTTGGTGCGTGGGACGGCCCCTCTCCTGGTCTCCCTAAGCGCAGCACCTCCGAGCTCCATGGGGGTAGAGTCGGAGGTGCTGGGGGATGGAATGAATGGGCCCTGATCAGAACGTCTGCGGGTCTCCAACAGGTTATCCAGCCTGATGGACATCTCCACCAGTTGGTCCAGGTTTGAGATTGGTATCCCTGCAGGCCAGTTCCCGCCGAACGTCTTCCCTTAGGCTGCACCGATATTGGTCGATCAGGGCCCTCTCATTCCATCCGGCGCTGGCTGCCAAAGTCCTGAACTCCAGCGCAAAATCCTGGGCGCTCCTCCTCTCCTGTCTTAGGTGGAACAGACGCTCGCCCGCCGCTCTCCCCTCTGGTGGATGATTGAATACCGCCCGGAAGCGGCGGGTGAAATCCTCGTAGCGGACCGACCTAGCGTCAATTCCTCCCCACTCGGCGTTGGCCCACTAGAGCGCCTTCCCCGACAGACAGGAGATGATGGCGGACACGCTCTCGTATCCCGAGGGCGCCGGGTGAATGGTTGCCAGGTAGAGCTCTACCTGGAGAAGGAAACCCTGACACCCGGCTGGTGTACCGTCATATGCCCTCGGGAGCGAGAGCCGAATCCCACTGGGCCCAGGTGGCAAAGGGGTGGACTGTGGTATGGATGGTGGAGTGGTTGGAGGAGGTGTGGGAAGGCCACCTCTCTCCCAACGGTCCGTATTATTCATCACCCTCCCCATGGCGGCGCCGAGAGCCTGGATGATACTCTCCCATCTTTGAAGTCGTTCCTCCATCGATTTGGACTGACTGGCTGTACCTGCTGACTCCATAAATGGTGCGTGGTTCTGTCACGAGTGTCGGTGTAATGCGGTGGATCGAATTCAGGGGAAAGATAACTTCCAAGTGATTCTCAGCCCATGCATAGGCAGCCTACTCTATTTCATTGAGACCACACATCTACGAGGCGCACTTGACCTCAAACGCTGACTGCACCACAACGATCTCTGTCAGGACCCGCGGGAACGTAGCCCCCCTAGCCCAAGCCCTCTATGTGATTTGAAAACAGCAGGGGTGTGCATATTTATTTGATATAATAGCACTGCATCAGTTTACCACAGCGGGCTTCCCAATTGGGCTAACAGTAACAGAGCTAACATTGGAATTCAACTTTATGGTCACAAGATTATTACTGACAATACCCCTGGGAACATGGTTATCTGTAGCAGTATGATAACGCTGTGAAATAGTGGCAATGGGAAGAACTAACTGAGCAAGGGTCAGGCTGATTACACTGTAAGAGGCCCTGATGTACATTTTGCCCCTTTCATATTTGGCTGCAATCCATCCCTCTTGTAAAACTGGGGCGTCTCCCAAAAGTGGTCAAAATTGTCAATGTGCTCCAAATCCATCGGGGAACAGCAGGATTTAAGCCACTAGTGGAGCCAGAGGAGACGACTAAAGCGTTCCATTCCACGACCTGTTGTTGGTTGAGGCCCTGAAATGAGAACCCACTTGTCTGCCTCCTTTAGTTTGTCTACGAGCACTCTGAAGTCAGATTTTAATTGCTCAGATTTTGTTTGTACCAACATTAACGACTATACTGTGAGCATACGGGTGCTTCTCCATCACAGCAGGGACCTGGTGATCTATGTCCTGAACACGGGATCCAGGGAAGAAGTGGGGCCTTTGCTTCCACGACCACCACATCCCCTAACTATGGAGCTCCCTAGAACAACCACCGCTGGAGGATGAGGAGAGGGCCACTGCGAGTCTGTGTGATGGGGGGGGCTGATGCTATGGGGGGGCTGATCCAAGGGATGACTTTTGATCTTTGCGCTGGGTGCTGAGGTGAAGTAGGAAGGACAGGGGGAGCGGCGTAGGGCCTCGTCAGAGGGCTCCGGTGAAGTCAGGGGGGGGCTGTTAGAGAGCCGCAGGGCTGGACGAGAGGGCAGAGGGAGGATACGTTTGAACCTTCCTCCTCTCTTACCTCTAACTTCATTCCACTTTGCTTCCGATGGTGTAGAGGAAGACGCAGTAGTCCTACGGTTCTCGTCGGTGGGATGTGTGGTCCGTAGATACTGCAGAGGTCATTTAGAATTGTTGCATCAAAAACAGCATGCAGTCTTGAAGTCTTCTTAGCCAGAGCGAGACGTTCTTTTAGGTCCCTGTTGTCCTCTAGTAGTTCAATGATCCAGTCTTTTGAGGCAACCAGCTGTTTACACCTTTCACAAGTGTATAAAGTCAGTAAATTCTTCGTCTTTCACAGGTCTCATATTTCACGACTTTACCATCCCATCTCCAGATCCGACTCCAAATCAGAGAAAATCCGACGTGCTTAAACTCCCAGAAACAGCGGTCCTGGCAACAAGATAAGCTTTGTCGGGTGACATCCAGATAACCTAGCTAGTTGGAACTAGCCGGGGATAGCCTGGTAACGCTAGCTCCAGGAGATGACAAAATCCAGCCAACACAGCGCGTTAAGAACAGCACTAACGCCGTGGTCCCAAAATAAAACACTTAAAACAAAATGTGTTTTAAAAGGTAGAACATGTATGTAGGTGTCTTAAAAAATATAAAAACACAGAAGCGCTGTATCGTCACGGAAACATTCTGCTTCCTACTTCCTGGTCACATGTCGACCCAGCCTACTCTCACTCCTACTTTCAGAGATACTGTGTCTCTAAGCAGTTTCTCAGCCTAAAATCCGTAATATATTAGTCAGTCAGAAACATGTTGACAAAGAGTATTTTTCAGGGAACATTAATAATTGATTAAAAGTGACAGTTGGTGTCTCGGTAACTGCTAGACCCAATAGCACTCCTATTTTGGAAATATAGGCCTACTTGCGCTGTGAGAGATTTGTGTAACTGACAAAGACAGAATGAGAGAGAAAGGGGTTTATTATGTTAAGAAGTAGGTTATTGAGACTAACAGAGTAAATCACATTGACAGTCTCAGCATGTGGGTATACAGGGAGAAGTTAATTGCTCCTGTAAGTCGCTCTGGATAAGAGCGTCTGCTAAATAACAAAATAATAATAATAATAATAAGTTAATGATTGACGTGATCAACCACCGCAGTGACAAACTTCATCAGCAAATTTGACAAACTTCCTAAATCATCAACTCTTGGTAAGCACTAAGCAACTCAGCACTAAGCACTTTCAGTTATTCAGTTAAGAAACAACATCTTTAGAGAATGGATCAGAGAGAGAGAGAGAGAGAGAGAGAGAGAGAGAGAGAGAGAGAGAGAGAGAGGGAGAGAGAGAGGAGAGAGAGAGAGAGAGGAGAGAGAGAGAGAGAGAGAGAGAGAGAGAGAGAGAGAGGGCGCAGAGAGAGAGAGAGAGAGAGAGAGAGAGAGGTGCATATAGTAGAGAGAGGTGGAGGAGGCAGAGGGGGCAGAGAGAGAGAGAGCGAGAGATAGAAAAGCCACTCTGCCGAAGTCTTTTTTCATTTAATTTGATTTATTTGTCAATTTAAAAACAAAGTTTAGCCACAGAAGTAAGCCTTCCCTGCATTACAAATTATTGAGGACAACAACACTAAAAAACGTATTTCCATTGTGGTCCTCTGACCACAACCATCTACTATAACCGTCATGGATGATGAACGAGTGGGGACCTTTGTGTCGTTGGACTATGTCGTATTCGCATGTCTGTTCGTGGTCTCCTCAGGGATAGGGGTGTTCTTCGCGGTGAAGGAGAGGAAGAACCCCTCATCGGAGTTCCTGGTAGGGGGTCGTCAGATGACCTTTGGTCCCGTGGCCCTGTCCCTCACCGCCAGCTTCATGTCTGCTGTCACCGTGCTGGGGGCGCCCTCCGACGTCTACCGCTTTGGGGGGTCGTTCATCCTCTTCGGCGTGGCCTACACCTTTGTGGTTATCGCTACAGCTGAACTGTTTGTGCCGGTGTTCTACAGATCGGGGATCACGAGTACCTACGAGGTACTGTGCTTTTTTTAATGATTTCATCTTTATTTAAAAGGGGCAATATGGGATTCTAACAACAACAAAGCCTGCCACCCCGCCATACATAAATGTTTTGGTAAACAAACATGGACGTATCAATCCCAGATTTCACCTTTAACCTTTATTTAACCAGAAGGTCCAGTTGAGGTCAGAATAACTCTTTCTTTACCAAGGGAGACCTGGGCAAGAAGGGCGGCCTGACTCAAGGATGGGAAACTGACGGCCCGCAGGCCACACCCATTTGTAGGCCCACAGATACATTTTCCAAAGACAAAACAAATATATATATATATATATATGTTTTTAAAAATGATTACTCAGTCAGGGTCTTAACTTACTGTTGAGAGTTAGAATAGAAGAATACGTAAGGTGCAATTTCTAAATTTTGATTGTGCACCAGCAGTTTTCTCTTGTTATGTCAGTCACTGACAGTCACTCAATTAGCCCATGTCAGCTCCATTCTTTTTAGATTGGTAAATTAGTCTAGCGGCCAGCTATTTAAACTTGTAATCATGGTCAAACGACTGACTGGGGGGGGGCCCTTGATTTTGTTAGTCACTCTCACTCAGATATCATATTAAAAACTTCAAACATTTCTCTCCAACCTATGGCAAAATGTGTAGAATTACAGGAAATGAGCTGTAAAACTGCACATTGTTCTCTCTGCCCCACGGCAAAATTAGTACAATTGCGTGAAATGAGCTCATACATTAATTTTAGTGCGACTTAATTCGTAGGAAAATACACACATTTTTTTTGTGTGACTTCATTCATAGGAAAGTACATTTTTGGGGGTGCAAACTTCAGAATAATCTTTTGAAAGTTATTAGGGCAATGAATGGTGTTCTACACTGCCTTTTTTGTTTGTTGTGTCCCACATTTATTTATATATATATATTTAAAAAAAACGTGTTAACAACCCAGTATTGTTAATCAACCAGGTTGTTTCGCCCGGAATAAATATAACATAATAGTAGCCTTACGTGGTTATTTGTTTTATTAACGCTGTTTGTTTTATGCTGTTTGTTTTATGCTTGTTTTCACATAATACTTTGGGATACTGGTGCACTTGTAGTCAGAGAGGTCCTTTTTTCCTGTAGACAACAGTCGGCCTACAAGATATTCTTCACAACTCATTTAATATTTCATGGAGACTACATTACACCATTTTCTTCATAATGCATTTTAATACAAGGCTTCACTTTTTGGTGTACATTACACCATTTTCTTTCATAATGCATTTTATACAAGGCTATGTCGAATTTTATTAGGGTGGCCAGATTGGAGAAGAAAATACAGATCTTTCTGTTTTTTTTTTTTTTTTTGTGGTATCGATGAAGGTGTTTGATTGGGGAATGGGGATACATTATTATAATGGAAAAATATAATACACACACAAACACATATACACACACTCTCACTTTGTTTGTACTCATGTTATAGCCAACTCTTGACTTTCGTATGTATTAAAATATTTGTATCTAGTTGTCATGTATTCATTATCTTTCACTGCTTAAATATTTGCAGTTTGCATGTTTCAGTAATGATTAACATGGTTAAATAGTGGTAAATCTCTGCTTGATTTAGCTTTTGGTATATTATAGTCCCCTGTAGCTCAGTTGGTAGAGCATAGCGCTTGCAACGCCAGGGTTGTGGGTTCGTTTCCCACGGGGGGGTGGGGGGGGGGCAGTATGAAAGATGTATGCACTCACTAACTGTAAGTCGTTTTATCGTCTGCTAAATGACTCAAATGATTTGGCATTTTTATACATATTCTGTATTTCCACTGAAGAAATAAATAATTCATCAACACACTACTGTAAAGAAATGGACACTACCTGTTATAAAACATAAAATGCTCTCCATAAATAAGTGGTGGGAAATGCTCAGTCTGAAGCCATTTGGCTATAGGTTTCACAGCCCTATAATAATGATACAAGATATATCACCTTAAAAAGGGTTTATTTACAACCTCTGGGTTATAACACGTTGGGCAAAGTGGTAAAGGAGAGTTTGACATATAACCCCTAACTTGAGTTCGGTCTTCACCAATGAGAACCAAGAGGGGTCCAGCTTCGTCCTTCAGGACTGGGAAAGGCCTCGATTCTAGGCCGTAGAAAATCCTTCATCCATCTCATTAGATGAAACCAGGATGGGGATCAACAGTGATTCAAAGTACTGGTTTGCGTCCTAAAAAAAAAAAAGGATAGTTGTGTTTTACTGCATGACACACTTACATTATGTGTCCACCCATATGATGTGGATCATTGTCAGGTTATTTGATGTATGAGCTTCAATAACACTTTAAACAGGTCGTTTGTAAATGTGTAGAATGTGTTTGTTTTATGTAAATTAGACAGTCACAGATGATTTTCTTCTGAATAACTGGTCAGGGCACAACACTTTCCATTCAGCTTCAGGCAACTTTGATTGTAAGGCTTGATCACACCTGTAGTGACTACTTCTATCCGTCACCGCCCATTGTTGCTCATCCATTGTTCACTAGATATATCAACGTAATTACACCCAACACAACGTTGAAAAACAGAACGCTTCCCACCGCTAGATCACATAACTAGACGTGAGCTGGACGTGATCCCAACGCTGCCACCAATGTAGCGGAAGAAAGTGAAAGCTGCAACAGGGACTCTGACCAGGGCAAAGAGAGCTCTAACGGCCGTTGCCATGACAGCCTAATAGTCCTCATATGCCTTGTCACAATTGCCTCAGTATATAACATGATTGACACGACCGTAACAATCATCATGGAATGGCCTTGGTAAGTGGCATAAGTGTAAGCCAACGTAATTCATTATTGTACATTAACCTGTTTAACTGCATTGATATGGCTTAATTGATCACAGTCCAGACTCGTTATAGTTGCAGATACCATGCAGTTGCACCAGGGGAATTTAAAACCAAACAGACTAATGTTTCCCCACATTTATTGATGAATTAATTTCCCATCATGAAAATGTATCCCCATTCCCCAATCAAATACCTTCATCGATGCCACAACAGCAAACAGACAAATACAGTTTTTTACTCCAATCTGGCAACCCTCATAAAATCCGACATAGAACCAGTATCCCAAAGTATTAAGCGAAAACAAACATAGAAACCAGTATCCCAAAGTATTAAGCGAAAACAAACATAGAAAACAATATTGGCATAAAAAAGGCTACTATTACATTATAAGTCTTTCGGTGACAACCTGGTTGATTAACAATATTGGGTTGTCAACACGTTTGTTTAAAAATATAAATATATGTGGGACACAACAAAAAGGCAGTGTAGAACCCCATTGCCCAAAATGCATTGCTCCAATAGCTTTCAAAAGATTGTTCCGAAGTTTGCCACCCAAAAAATGTATTTTTCTATGAACGAAGTCGCACAAAAATGTGTGTATTTTCCTACGAATTATGTTGAACAAAAATGTGTGTATTTTCACACAAATTAAGCCACACAAAAATGCACAAACACTGGCTAAATACTTTTTGTACATATTTGCACAAATTGAGTGTGAGAATACAGTGGGGGAAAAAAGTATTTAGTCAGCCACCAATTGTGCAAGTTCTCCCACTTAAAAAGATGAGAGAGGCCTGTAATTTTCATCATAGGTACACGTCAACTATGACAGACAAAATGAGAAAAAATATTCCAGGAAATCACATTGTAGAATTTTATATGAATTTATTTGCAAATTATGGTGGAAAATAAGTATTTGGTCACCTACAAACAAGCAAGATTTCTGGCTCTCACAGACCTGTAACTTCTTCTTTAAGAGGCTCCTCTGTCCTCCACTCGTTACCTGTATTAATGGCACCTGTTTGAACTTGTTATCAGTATAAAAGACACCAGAAACAAAATTGTAGACCTGCACCAGGCTGGGAAGACTGAATCTGCAATAGTTAAGCAGCTTGGTTTGAAGAAATCAAGTGTGGGAGCAATTATTAGGAAATGGAAAACATACAAGACCACTGATAATCTACGCAAGACCTCACCCCATGGGGTCAAAATGATCACAAGAACGGTGAGCAAAAATCCCAGAACCACACGGGGGGACCTAGTGAATGACCTGCAGAGAGCTGGGACCAAAGTAACAAAGCCTACCATCAGTAACACACTACGCCGCCAGGGACTCAAATCCTGCAGTGCCAGACGTGTCCCCCTGCTTAAGCCAGTACATGTCCAGACCCGTCTGAAGTTTGCTAGAGTGCATTTGGATGATCCAGAAGAGGATTGGGAGAATGTCATATGGTCAGATGAAACCAAAATAGAACTTTTTGGTAAAAACTCAACTTGTCGTGTTTGGAGGACAAAGAATGCTGAGTTGCATCCAAAGAACACGATATCTACTGTGAAGCATGGGGGTGGAAACATCATGCTTTGGGGCTGTTTTTCTGCAAAGGGACCAGGACGACTGATCCGTGTAAAGGAAAGAATGAATGGGGCCATGTATCGTGAGATTTTGAGTGAAAACCTCCTTCCATCAGCAAGGGCATTGAAGATGAAACGTGGCTGGGTCTTTCAGCATGACAATGATCCCAAACACACCGCCCGGGCAACGAAGGAGTGGCTTCGTAAGAAGCATTTCAAGGTCCTGGAGTGGCCTAGCCATCTCCAGATCTCAACCCCATAGAAAATCTTTGGAGGGAGTTGAAAGTCCGTGTTGCCCAGCGACAGCCCCAAAACATCACTGCTCTAGAGGAGATCTGCATGGAGGAATGGGCCAAAATACCAGCAACAGTGTGTGAAAACCTTGTGAAGACTTGCAGAAAACGTTTGACCTGTGTCATTGCCAACAAAGGGTATATAACAAAGTATTGAGAAACTTTTGTTATTGACCAAATACTTATTTTCCACCATAATTTGCAAATAAATTCATAAAAAATCCTACAATGTGATTTTCTGGATTATTTTTTCTCATTTTGTCTGTCATAGTTGACGTGTACCTATGATGAAAATTACAGGCCTCTCTCATCTTTTTAAGTGGGAGAACTTGCACAATTGGTGGCTGACTAAATACTTTTTTCCCCCCACTGTATGTTGAGACGGCAGCTGCAACGCTAAATATAAAGAATACATTTAGTCTAATCTTTATCCTATAACGTTTTGCCTATGGAGCGGACCCTCTCCACCTACTGGCTATATTCAGCTCTTGTTAAATCTCTGAATCTCAGCTCTTTCTCCAATCTCAGAGGGGAAAGCTGTACGGGTTCACCTTTAGATGACCTGAACAAAGGTGAAGCCGAAAAACTCTAGATTGCACATCCTGTTTCAGGTAATTGCATCATCAAGGGTGGCCTCTGACTGTCTCTAATACAGGTCCACCCTGACAGTGAGGCTTCAGCTGTCCAAAGGCATTTTATGGTAAACAGCAAGCAAAGCACACTAATTACATCCTCACAGGGTGGTCTCTGTCTGTCTGACTTTGATAAAGGTTGAATGTGATGGGACTAATAACAACAACTAATAACAACAAGATAACTAGTGTAAGACATGCTGTGTCCATAATAAGTATATAGGTTATATATTGTGAGCTTTTGTGAAAGAGCACAGTTAGAAAGATATGGCATATAGAAGCATACCGGATGGACATCATGAAAATGATCGGAGGAAGTTCAGGAGTAAAAACAAACAAAATATAATTATTGACTGTGTCCATAAAATGTATATAGTATGTATAAGCTGGAAGTAGAGGCCTAAGCATTTTTGTTCACTAGTTTACTCCAATTAGGGAGGGGATGGTGGGGTTGGAAAGTAATAAAGCGAAATATATATATCTTTAAAGGATATGTATGTATATATATATGTATATATATGTGTATATGTATGTATGTGTATGTATGTGTGTATATATATATATATATATATATATATATATATATATATATATATATATATATATATATATATATATATATGCGAGAGAAAAAAAAACATATGGGGGATTGGAAGTGATGCAGACAATTACATTGATGGAAGTTACAATCTATCTGCAATATTAAAGCTGATACTTAACAGTGATGCCCTGATACAGATTAGAAACAGATGCTTTGAACTAACAGTGATGCCCTGATGCAGATTAGAAACAGATGCTTTGAACTAACAGTGATGCCCTGATGCAGATTAGAAACAGATGCTTTGAACTAACAGTGATGCCCTGATGCAGATTAGAAACAGATGCTTTGAACTAACAGTGATGCCCTGATGCAGATTAGAAAACAGATGCTTTGAACTAACAGTGATGCCCTGATGCAGATTAGAAACAGATGCTTTGAACTAACAGTGATGCCCTGATGCAGATTAGAAACATATGCTTTGAACTAACAGTGATGCCCTGATGCAGATTAGAAACAGATGCTTTGAACTCAGAACAATTGTTTGTTATCCACTGTTACTTTGATCTAACAACATCTGTGTGTGTGTGTGTGTGTGTGTGTGTGTGTGTGTGTGTGCGTGCGTGTGTGTGTGTGTGTGTTTGTTTGTGTGTGTGTGTTTGTGTGTGTTCTCTAGTATTTAGAGATGCGGTTCTGTAAGGGGGTCCGCATGGCTGCCACTCTGATTTATATTGTGCAGACGGTGAGTTTGTCTGGAAACACACATGGCATGTAGCTTTACCATTCAGCATTTTTTTTTCTTCCACATAAACAATGTCAACAATGTCAACAAACATTCAGGGGATTATCCAGTTAGAGTTGTTGTATTTTCCTAGTGTTCCACTCTTGGTCTGTGTGTGTTTCTATACATTTCAGATCTTATACACAGGGGTGGTAGTGTATGCTCCTGCCTTGGCCCTCAATCAAGGTATGTCATTTTGCTCAGTGGTGCAGAATTTACCACATTGGGGCGGCAGGTAGCTTTAGTGGTTAAGAGCATTGTGCCAGTAACCAAAAGGTCGCTGGTTCTAATCCCCGAGCCGACTAGGTGAAAAATCTGTCGGATGTGCCCTTGAGCAAGGCACTTAACCCTAATTGCTCCTGTAAGTCGCTCTGGATAAGAGCGTCTGCTAAAATGACTAAAAATGTAAATAACAAATATAAAACCATTGTAAGCACATGAGTTGAATGCAAGTTCTTTATTTCTAAAGAATCTTTCTTTTTCTGAACCTTACATTTCTTCCCACAGTCACTGGCTTCAACCTTTGGGGTTCTATATTCGCAACAGGCATTGTGTGCACGTTCTACTGCACACTGGTGAGTTGGGTTGGGATAACAGGCATTGTGTGCACGTTCTACTGCACACTCTATGACTATAGAGTTCATCCTTCTTCCTGACATCATGCAGGCATCCTCTCTTACTGTGTTTCTGAAAGAGGAGCAGAGCACACCTGAATAAATAGTCTAGTAACATAAACAGTGACAGTGTAAACGAAGCACCTCCCAGTCCCAGGTCAGGACGCGGGACAATTCAGCTATGCTATACAGAGTGATGGTCATGTGGGGGAGGCTAGGTTATGGTGTGGTGCTGATGGATGGTCTGTGGTAATTATCTCTGGTGTGTGTGTGTGTGTGTGTGTCCCTGCGTGTTTCTCTCTCTCTGCCTATATCGCATATAGAGCTGCGCGAGATATCTATGCTAGAGAGAGCAGTAGCGCTCCTCTCTTAGGAGATGCAGAGATGCTCTCTCTCCCTCTCGTCTCTCTCCTCTCCATCTCTCTCTCTCTCTCTTCTCTCCCTCTCCCTCCCTCCCTCCCTCCCTGTGAAGGGTGGGCTGAAGGCAGTGGTGTGGACAGATGCGTTCCAGATGGTGGTGATGGTGGTGGGCTTCATGACCGTGCTGGTCCAGGGGACACGGAAGACAGGGGGCGCAGCCTCCGTGTGGGAGGTGGCTAAGACGGGAAACAGACTCGACATCTTTGAGTAAGTGCAGCCCACCACACTGATGACATCATACTCTCCTCAGGTCTTGGTTTGTCAATGGCTTTCACACAGACACTTCTATTTGTACGTCATACTGTCTATTGAACACAATGTATTTGAAGGTGAAGTTTAGGTATTAAAGGGATAGTTAGACATTATTGTTGCCTTGTGCTGGACGTTGCTAAATAATCTGCTAGTGGACATAAAAAGGTTTGGATGAAAAAACAACACTAAACTAAACACTAAAATTCACTAAAGTAAATTGAAAATAAGGTAAAACCTAAAGAAAAAGTGAGTGAATTATCCCTTTAAGTAGGGTGATAGGTCACAGGTCATAGGTTAAAGATAATGGTCAGGGTCGTATTCACCATATGGAAGAATGGGAGGGACTATATATTTTTGTCCAACAAGAAACTCTTGTTCCATTTTCCGTTGCAAAAAAACGTTTTGCTACGTTGTGCACTAATGTAGGGGTTCTCAAACTGTTTTGGGGGCCCGGGGACCCCTTTTGTGATAGACAATTCATCACGGACCCCCTCATAATCAGAACACACCCCGAGTGAGATAAAAATAGAAAGAGTTCTACTATGATTTTGGCAGTGCATGGCCGGACCAACCGGTCTCGGGGGCCTGGGAAGGAACATTTTAAAGGCTCATGTCTTGGCATTGGAGAGACATTTTTCAAGCAAATGTCCTGCGTTTTGCCATGGAGCAGAGAGAAAACTTTGCGACCTTAAAGCTTTAAACTTTACAGTGCGTTTACGTAAAAAAAAAAAAATCATTTATGGGAATAAAATAAGAACGATTGAGTTGATAAAATGTATAATTGGTGGAGTACTGTGGATACCAATATCCCTGTGAGCCTCTCAGGACCATGTTGCGCAGGGTTAATGCAGCATTCACGTGCCAGTCGGAACCAGGAAACCCGGGAAAACTCAGACTGGCCAATCAGCTGAGCCCCCCAGCCCCGACCAGCACACGAATGCAACATAAGAACAGAAATTGTAGATTCATATTACATTGTATTACACCCTCTAAACTTATTTCACAGATCCCTGGGACAAAATTGGTTTAATCTGTTGTTGTTAGTAATATTCATAAAAATATATATGATATATACACTGAGTATACTAAACATCAGGAACACCTTCCTAATATTGAGTTGCACTCCCCTTTGCCCTCAGAACAGCCTCAATTCGTCGGGGCATGGAGTCTATAAGGTGTCGAAAAGCGTTCCACAGGGATGCTGGCCCATGTTGACTCCAATGCTTCCCACAGTTGTGTCAAGTTGGGTGGATGGCCAGCAGCGTTTGCAGTTCTTGACACAAACCGATGCGCCTGCCACCTACTACCATACCCAGTTGAAAGGCACTTCAATGTTTTGTCTTGCCCATTCACCCTCTGAATGGCACACATTACACAATCCATGTCTCAATTGTCTCAAGGTTTAAACATCCTTCTTTAACCTGTCTCCTCTCCTTCATCTACACTGATTTGAAGTGGATTTAACAAGTGAATAAAAGATCATAGCTTTCACCTTTATTCACCTGGTCAGTCTATGTCATGGAAAGAGTGTATATATTTTGAGATCTGGCCGCGGACCCCCTGCAGTAACCAAAACCCTGCACTAATGAATACTACTCTATGCCCTCAGCTTTGACCCAGACCCTCTGAGACGCCATACGTTCTGGACCATCTCTATTGGGGGAACCTTTACCTGGCTGGGCATCTACGGGGTTAACCAGTCAACTATACAGAGATGCATCTCCTGCAAAACTGAGACACACGCCAGACTGTAAGCATCTTCCGTCACTAAGACATTTACCGTTTTCACACACCACTACTAAGCCGACCTGAGCTGTACTAAAACTGGCCTGGTTACGCATTCCACCATAGTTGAAACCGGTCCACCATCCAGATCCGACACGTGTTTTGGAGTCCACTCTAACAAGGCGCTTCTCTTTTTCGTGGTCGTTCGAGCCCGGATCTGGACAACTGCACAATATACTGTATACCTTTATTATGAAGAGTGTCTGTGTGGAGCAGACAGGATGCTTCACATCACTACCCAGTCTAGCTACCTTTGCCTGCTACCCAGTCTAGCTACCTTTGCCTGCTAGCCAGTCTAGCTACCTTTGCCTGCTAGCCAGTCTAGCTACCTTTGCCTGCTAGCCAGTCTAGCTACCTTTGCCTGCTAGCCAGTCTAGCTACCTTTGCCTGCTAGCCACGTGTCAAGGCTGTCTTACTGTACGGCACTTTGTGATAGCGGTTGATGTGAAAAGGGCTCTATACATAAAACATTTTTTAAAAAAGATTTTCAGTAGCATTTGTCTGTCATCCACTTCCCAGAGCTCTGTACTTCAACCTGCTGGGTCTGCTGGTCATCCTGGTGTGTGCGGTGTTCTCCGGTCTCATCATGTATGCTTTCTACGCCCACTGTGATCCATGGACCGCCCAGTCAGTCACAGCAGCAGACCAGGTTACTACTGCTGCTATCCTTAATGTCTCTGCTTGTCCCTTTATATTTACGTCATTTAGCAGACGCTCTTATCCAGAGCGACTTACATGAGCAATTAGGGTTAAGTGCCTTGCTCAAGGGCACATCGACAGATTTTTCACATAGTCAGCTCGGGGATTAGAACCGGCGACCTTTCGGTTACTGGCACAACGGTCTTAACCACTAAGCTACCTGCCGCCCGTTATACAGCCACAGTAGCAGACCAGGGGTGGAAGCACAAAGCACCACTTTTCCCTAAAAGGTTGGTATATATCAAATTTGAACTCGACAGGAAAGTGTGCGTACCTCCACATAAATCTCAGACAACTTGTAGTGGTTGAAGAATTGTATTACAATTAAAACATTGTTCTTTTTGGGGGAAATTGGAAGTGTTTGACGCACAGGAATTAAAAATAATGGTAGGCTTAATAAAAAACATTAAAATGTAGGCTAATGATAAAACAGAAGCATAGCCTAAAATATTTATTTTCAGTTTATTATATGGGCCTAAATCATCATCATACGTTCTGACATGACTGGTTTATTCCCGCTACACAATCAGTATTAGACTACCATTCATTCAATAGCCAAGCAAGGAAACAGACCGGTAGCCTAGACGGTATGGTGGACTGCAGTATAGACCGGTAGCGTAGACGGTATGGTGGACTGCAGTATAGACCGGTAGCGTAGACGGTATGGTGGACTGCAGTATTGACCGGTAGCGTAGACGGGATGGTGGACTGCAGTATAGACCGGTAGCCTAGACGGTATGGTGGACTGCAGTATTGACCGGTAGCCTAGACGGTATGGTGGACTGCAGTATAGACCGGTAGCCTAGACGGTATGGTGGACTGCAGTATTGACCGGTAGCCTAGACGGTATGGTGGACTGCAGTATAGACCGGTAGCCTAGACGGTATGGTGGACTGCAGTATTGACCGGTAGCCTAGACGGTATGGTGGACTGCAGTATAGACCGGTAGCGTAGACGGTATGGTGGACTGCAGTATTGACCGGTAGCCTAGACGGTATGGTGGACTGCAGTATAGACCGGTAGCCTAGACGGTATGGTGGACTGCAGTATAGACCGGTAGCGTAGACGGGATGGTGGACTGCAGTATAGACCGGTAGCCTAGACGGTATGGTGGACTGCAGTATAGACCGGTAGCCTAGACGGTATGGTGGACTGCAGTATAGACCGGTAGCCTAGACGGTACGGTGGACTGCAGTATTGACCGGTAGCCTAGACGGTATGGTGGACTGCAGTATTGACCGGTAGCGTAGACGGGATGGTGGACTGCAGTATTGACCGGTAGCGTAGACGGTATGGTGGACTGCAGTATTGACCGGTAGCCTAGACGGTATGGTGGACTGCAGTATTGCTGTGACTGAGGAAGGAGAGTGACGTCACAGCCTTCTTAATGTCAGAGCCTCTCTGATTCATCAAGGAAAACATGCGTCTGATTTATCAATGAAAACACAGCGTCCATGTTGCAATAATTTGTGGCGCACGCAAATCCTACAATATCCATTTACACCGGAATTTAGTAAGACATTTAGGCACGGTTGATAAATGAGGCCCCTGGTTACCGTCTCTGGTTGCGTCCCATAACACCCTATTCCCTATATAAAGTAGTGCACTACTTTTGACCAAAAGCCTTATTGACTCTGGTTAAAAGTAGTGCACTATAAAGGCGATAGGGTGTCATTTGGTACTCAGTCTCTGTTCCATTTCTAGCCCTAATTCTACTCCCATTCTAACGCTGTCACAGCCACAGACCAGGTTGCGGTCACTACCGTCCAATCAGGGTGTCTTGTTCTATATCCAACCCTTAATTCACATCCGGTCAATAGAGTCTGGGGTGAAATTCCATTTCAATTCAGGAAGTGACTGAATTGAAATGGAATTGACTCCAACCCTGGTGTCTAGTGACCTAAATAGATACAGTCTCCAGTGTTTGTGTCCAGGGCTCTGCTACCCAGTACTCATGAACTTCATCTCATTTCTCTGCGGCTCATGCCATAACCTTTTTCACCCTGTCTCTCTGCAGCTTATGCCGTATTTTGTCATGGAGATTCTGGGGGAGTATCCTGGACTTCCTGGGCTGTTTGTTGCCTGTGCCTTCAGCGGAACACTCAGGTTAAAGGAATCACTGTGTGGATCATTTGAAACTTGTTTAAGGGTGGGTTTCCCAAAAGCCTTCGTAGCTAAAGTAGTATGTTATTTAGCTCCCAACAACGCAGCCACAAGCGAGTAATTGTAAAAATCAAGTGTTTGGAGGTCAATCTTCAATGCATTTAAAAAAAAACAAGGCTTTGGAAAACCCAGCCCAGAATTACATTGTCTTGCCTTCATTGCGCTCTAGCTAAAAGTTCAGTATTTATTAAGAGATCTCAACTAATTCCCTGTCTGTGCCCTCTCTCAGTACTGTGGCAGCCAGCATCAACGCCCTAGCCACGGTGACCTATGAAGACTTTGTTAAGCAGTGTTGTACTAACCTCTCCAACAAAGCCAGCGGCTGGATCAGCAAAGGACTGTGTAAGAATAACTCCCAGTTATTACTATAATAGAGGCCATAAATTGGAGCCAAGCTTGTGCTGAATAACGCCAACGTACACACTTTACAATCTTCGCCTCTGCAGGTATCGTGTTCGGCATAGCCTGCACCACCATGGCAGTTGCCGCATCCTACATGGGAGGGATTGTACAGGTAACCACTGTCCCTGTTAGCGTGTGAATGACTAAAGTACGTGCACAGAGCTGACGCCTATGTGATTAATACGTCTTGCTGTGTGGTTCCCAGGCGGCTCTGAGTATCCATGGTATGTGCGGCGGCCCCATGCTGGGCCTCTTCTCTCTGGGAATCATCTTCCCCTGGACCAACTCTATGGTCAGCATAGAAAAACCTATTCCATCTTCTCCATGGTCCTTCCAGACAGATTAAGCCTGATCCTGGACTAAGAAACTATTTCACCATTAAGAATAATGGAATGATTAAGAATTAGGCTTAATCCAAGAAACTGGTCCTGAATGGTTACCAAAAACTCCACCTAAACACAAGCAATTCTACATACATCTATAGAAATTCAGTTATCAAGTAACTCATTTATAGATGATCATCTTCCTTAATTCAGTCCCGTGTGCTGTACTTGTTGTCTTCAGGGAGCAGCGGGTGGTCTGGTAGTGGGAATCTCCCTGTCGTTCTGGGCAGGTGTTGGAGCGTTCATCTACCCTGCTCTGGACATCAACACCAGGCCTCTGTCTCTCAGCACAGAGGGATGTGTTCAACCAAACTCATCTGTCCACACCACCACTGATCCACCTTCTTACCTGGACCCTTCCACTCTACCACCAAGGTACAGTACGGTCTCGGTCACCAGGGCCCTGTTCAGTATGGAGAAAACGTAGCAAAACTATTTTAACGGAAAATGAAAAATCTGTGTTGTTATTGGACAAGTTCAGGCTGTGCCCGACCCTCTTCAAAATATTTTCAAAAAACGATTTATCCCGGCTGAACACAACCCACGTTTACTAAGATCTCTTACAGAGCCCATTGGACCAGACATTTTGCCTCCAGAATGATGACTCAAATAGTGCCATGATACACTGGATGTATTGTATTCTGTACAGAACAGACCTCCCTTTAATACAGATGTAGGATCTTAATTTGAGCCAGTTTGCTACAGCAGGAAAATCCTGCAGTAACAGGAAATTTGAATTATTATTTGGATTATAATGAATGGATTTATTTTGTAGGGGTTGATACATTTTAAAGTGGAAATTACAAACTTTAGAAGCCTTTTTAAACATTGAATACACTAAAAGTGTGCATTTCCTGCAGTGCAGAAATCCTAGTTGGAGAATAACAGATTTCCTGTTTATTCTATTCTGACTCCGGGAATTTTCCAACCAGGATTTCTGAAAAACCTGGACATTCTGGGAAAATTACCAGAATTTTGCAACCCTAACTACAAATCAGTTGGATGTAAGGTATTGGAAATAGGCTACATTGTGACTCCTCTGTCCTCCACAGGTCACTTCTGGCTGATCACTGGTACTCCATGTCCTATCTGTACTATAGTGCTGTTGGATTTCTAGCCACCGTTACTGCTGGCCTGCTTATCTCCTTCATCACAGGTACTGTGTGTCTGCAGCATAGATATACAATTAGAACACTAGAATGGGAATTTATCATACAATTAGAACACTAGAATGGGAATTTATCATACAATTAGAACACTAGAACGGGAATTTATCATACAATTAGAACACTAGAATGGGAATTTATCATACAATTAGAACACTAGAATGGGAATTTATCATACAATTAGAACACTAGAACGGGAATTTATCATACAATTAGAACACTAGAACGGGAATTTATCATACAATTAGAACACTAGAATGGGAATTTATCATACAATTAGAACACTAGAATGGGAATTTATCATACAATTAGAACACTAGAACGAGAATTTATCATACAATTAGAACACTAGAATGGGAATTTATCATACAATTAGAACACTAGAATGGGAATTTATCATACAATTAGAACACTAGAATGGGAATTTATCATTACATACATTGGATGACAGAATTAAATAGAACATTTTAAAACCGGCAGTTCAGATCCTGGAATGCGTTCAAATGTTATTTTGCTGCTGTGCTTGCCTCTTGACATAACGTCAATATTATACATTCCTGTGGTCTGCTGCAAAGACACCTTGGAAGAGACATCCGTCAACAGGAAGAGGTCATAGAGAACAGGAATCAATGGCTGCTGTCTGAAAGACAGAGAAAGTGGTCTAAACCTCTTGAGTTATGTTGCTGTGGTTCCGGTACTCTCTATGTCATCACATTACCGGTCTGTCTGCAAAGATTCAACACACACTGTCTGTCTGTGAGGACGGATTCAACTACAACTGCTATAGAATATGGACCAATGCATGTGGTACTTTACAATCACACAAAGGCCATTTAGAAAACCATTGATTATATGTACAACTGCACTGAGAAAGACTGATTCATGATCTCATTCATTATTGAATGACCAGGGAGGGAAAGTCTGTTTGGCAGTGGGTCTAACATGTGGTCAGTATACCACATACCTACCAGTCACCCCAGCTAGCACAGAATGTTCCTGTAACATCCCCTAAAAAGGTTCTCCGTTCGTTTTTTTAGAATTTTCCCACAACATTCTGGAAACCAAACTTCATTTGCTGGGATGTGTCATTCTCTGAACTTGAAAGTGCTTTCTATCCTCGGTCTCTGACAGGACACACCAGGAGTCAAGATGTGAAACCGTGGCTCCTACGACCGGTGTGTAACCTCTTCTGCTTTTGGTCGAAGAAGTACAAGAAGATGTGCTGGTGTGGCGTCAACCATGAGTTAAAACAGGTGAAAGAGACACACGACAGACACGCTAACTTTTATTATATAACATAGCATAACCAGCATGACAAGGACCTTGTCAGCCAATCAACATTAGGACCATACATGTAGCATCTGGTCCTAGAAAAAAGTGGTAATATAAATCAAATCTCATTTTATTTGTCACATGAGCCGAATACAACAGGTGTAGACCTTACCGTGTAATGCTTACTTACTTACAAGCCCTTAACCAACAATGCAGTTTTAAGAAAGATATTTACTAAATAAACTACAGTAAAAATATTAATACATAAAGTAACACAATAAAATAACAATAACGAGGCTATATACATGGGGTACCGGTACAGAGTTAATGTGTGGAGGTACAGGTTAGTCGTGGTAATATGCACATGTAGGTAGGGGTAAAGTGACTATGCATAGATAATAAACAGTGAGTAGCAAATAGTCCGGGTAGCCATTTGATTAACTGTTCAGGAGTCTTATGGCTTGGGGGTAGAAGCTGATAAGGAGCCTGTTGGACCTAGACTTGACGCTCCGGCACTGCTTGCCATGCTGTAGCAGAGAGAACAGTTTATAACAAGGGTGGCTGGAGTCTTTGACCATTTTTTGGGCCTTCCTCTGACACCGCCTGGTATAGTGGTCCTGGATGGCAGGAAGCTTGGCCCCAGTGATGTACTGGGCCGTACGCACTACCCTCTGTAGTGCCTTGCGGTCGGAGGCCGAGCAGTTGCCATACCAGGCGGTGATGTAACCAGTCAGGATGCTCTCGATGGTGCAGCTGTATAACAAGGATCTGAGGACCCATGCCAAATCTTTTCAATCTCCTGAGGGGGAATAGGCGTTGTCATGCCCTCTTCACGACAGTCTTGGTGTGTTTGGACCATGAACTTGAAGCTCTCGACCTGCTCCAATACAGCTCCGTCGATGTGAATGAGGGCGTGCTCGGCCATCCTTTTCCCGTAGTCCACAATCATCTCCTTTGTCTTGGTCACGTTGAGGGATAGGTTGTTGTCCTGGCACCACACTGCCAGGTCTCTGATCGCCTCCCTATAGGCTGTCACATCATTGTCTGTGAACAGGCCTACCACCGTTGTGTTGTCGGCAAACTTAATGATGGTGTTGGAGTCGTGCTTGGCCACCAGTCGTGGGTGAACAGGGAGTACAGCAGGGGACTAAGCACGCACCCCTGAGGGGCCCCCGTGTTGAGGATCAGCATGGCAGATATGTTGTTGCCTACCCTTACCACCTGGGGGCGGCCCGTCAGGAAGTCCAGGATCCAGTTGCAGAGGGAGGTGTTTAGTTCCAGGGTCCTTAGCTTAGTGATGAGCTTTGAGGGCACTATTGTGTTGAACGCTGAGCTGTAGTCAATGAAAAGCATTCTCACGTAGGTGTTCTTTTTGTCCAGGTGGGAAAGGGCAGCGTGGAGTGCAATAGAGATTGCGTCATCTGTGGATCTGTTGGGGAGGTATGCGAATTGTAGTGGGTCCAGAGTTTCTGGGATGATGGTGGTGATGTGAGCCATGATCAGCCTTTCAAAGCCCTTCATGGCTACAGACGTGAGTGCTACGGGCGGTAGTCATTTAGGCAGGTTACCTTGGTGTTCTTGGGCTCAGGGTCTATGATGGTCTGCTTGAAACATGTTGGTATTACAGACTCGGTCAGGGACAGGTTGAAAATGTCAGTGAAGACACTTGCTAGTTGGTCAGCGCATGCTCTGAGTACGTGTCCTGGTAATCCGTCTGGCCCTGCGGCCTTGTGAATGTTGACCTGTTTAAAGGTCTTACTCACATCGGCTACGGAGAGCGTTATCACACAGTCGTCCGGAACAGCTGGTGCTCTCATGCATGCTTCAGTGTTTCTTGCCTCGAAGCGCGCATAGAATTCATTTAGCTCGTCTGGTAGGCTCGTGTCACTGGGCAGCTCGCGGCTGGGCTTCCCTTTGTAGTCCGTAATAGTTTGTAAGCCGCATCCGACGTGAGTCAGAGCCGGTGTAGTAGGATTCAATCTTAGTCCTGTATTGACGCTTCCCTGTTTGATGGTTCGTCAGAGGGCATAGCGGCATAGCTGTAATTAGCAGTACTACACAGGTATAAGAGCAACTCAATGTTAAGTCTCACCAATAAAGTGCGTACATGTCTGTACATGTGTTCAGCCTGGGTCTAGTATGACATATCAGTATCTCTTTCTCTTGTCTACTAGGACATGGAGGACCCAGACACAGACACTGTTAAAGATGAAGGTCCCTTCGTCAAGGAAGATACCGGCAGAAATGGGACGAAGAGGAAAGTACAGCCTGCCCAAAACTGCTATAACCTGCAAGAGAAAGTATATGACAACGCCGGCTTTACCGAAGACACACAGCCTTTTTAAAAGCCATAGAAATAGAATTACTAGCCAGTGGAATAATACTGTATTATCATACTACTGTAGTATAATACTACTGAAATATAATAATGACTGTAATTCTATGTGTAATGTTAAAAGCATTACGTTTAGTCTCTGAAAGGTAATAAACTGCTTAGATGATTGGTGACTACATGATAAAAGCAGCTACACCCACTCTCTCCTCCAACTCTCTCCTCCAACTCTCTCCTCCCACTCTCTCCTCCAACTCTCTCCTTCACTCTAAAAAACAACAACACATTCTGTGTGTTCCAAATGGCACCCTATTGATAGGGCTCTGGTCAAAAGTAGTGCACTATATATAGGGAATAGGGTGCCATTTGGGATGCATCCATTACAATATTGTAAAACCTGGCTGAAGCAATCAAAGAGTGCAGATGTTTTTTCATTTATGGTTGTTTACTTTGTACTCCCGGAATACAAACTGAGGCGTGAATATGAATCTAGTTCAACACACTGCCCCACTCAAAACAAACGCACATTCCGAACAGTTGATTCAAAAGATACAATCCATGATTTATTACAGAAAAAGTGTGATATCCAAATCTGATTAGGTTCCATCATATTCATTGAGTCTTTATACATATTTGGGTATGTTTTTCCACGTAAACAGGGATGACGTGATAACAGTGTTTAGTTTAGCTGCACCTCATGTTAGAACAGTTGATGACAACGTATAGATCGTAATAGTTTTATATTATTTTGGGACTTTACCTGGTTAATAAGGATGAATAAAAAATATCTAATAATGTGGTGGGTCATGGAAATTAGAACGATTTTTGAGTTGAGTCACAGCACACTTATTTTGCAACTTTTGGGGACGGTTTCAGGGACACAGATTAAGCCTAATCCTGGACTAAAAAGCTTTTTTTTTTATGGACTCCATAGATCTTGATTTTTAAACCAGGACTAGGTTGTGTCTGGGAAACTGTCCCCAAACGTTGCAAAAGAAGTGTGCTGTGACTCAACTCAAAAATCGTTCTAATTTCCATAACCCACCACATTATTCGATATTTTTATTCATCCTTTTTAACCAGGTGAGTCCCAAAAATAATATAAACAAAACAATGTTTTCAGCCAGATTCCAGTCTTAAGCTTCAAACAAGGAAGGTTTTGCTGCATCCGTCCTTGAAACATTACTAAACATTACGATGACATAAAAACACAATACAACAAAATGTTCTAATTCAAAATGTCTTCGGAAGATATATTATCAGCCGTGTACGTCAATCAGGGCATTAATCAATCAACAATCTATTATCTTGACTGATTAAACATCACGTATGATCAATCATGATGAAATAAACTATTTTCTTCTAACAGAATAGAGACATTGCTTTCCAAGACTTGTTGACTTGCTCTGGTTAAAGCAGTCATGCATACTCAACACCAATAATAAACTGATATCTGCTCTGGACACTGTGGTCATGGTACCACATGCTGAGCTTTCCAATGACCAATCACATCGAAGGGAAGATGTTTTATGACCAATCACGTTGAAGGGGAAATGTTTTCTGACCAATCACATCGAAGGGAAAATGTTTTCTGACCAATCACATCGAAGGGAAAATGTTTTCTGACCAATCACATCGAAGGGAAAATGTTTTATGACCAATCATACTGAAGGGAAGATGTTTTCTGAGCTTGAACATTCCTCAGTCAATCAATCCAAAAACCTACAAAATCTCAATCAATTCCATATAAACTGGACTTGTACTTAAAAGAGGAAACAAACCTATATTTAACAAATCCTGTTTATAACTGATTATATGTATTAAGACACATCAGACTACACATGATGTACTGACTGTATGTCGTTACGTTATGATGATTATAATATCAACTCTGGTATGGTTACGGTAAGGCTCTAGGATAGCTATATGTGCTCATTTGATACAATAAATTAACAAATCATGCTTTTTAACTTAAATTGAAGGTGCTTAATCGTCTTGACTTATGAGTGGTGGTGCGTCATCGTCATGCAAATGCTAAGAGTGCAAAACTATATATTTTAAAAAGCAGAAGAATACCTATTGATTGAATAAGATGATCAAAAGTGAAAATCACCTGCCAGACATTCAGAGGACACCTGAAGAAAAGCGAAAGTTTTACATTCATAGAAATATGATTACTAGAACGGGCAAAGCCCATCAGAGATTGAAAGGGAATGTACGTTCTAGCAATTCTATTTTTATGGTTACATTGCCTTGAATGCAGGTACAGAGAAGTGAACGTCGTGCTGGTCGATCGCATTCAGAATCGCTACAAAAATATATTATAAATAATAATACATTTGAAAAGTATACACATAGCAAAAAAAGTAAAAAATAAAACAAGTTTTATAGAAAGTGTATATACAGAATATAGCAAAGTAAAATAGAAAACTATAACAGTTAAACATTAAATAATATACAATAAAAGTAGAAACATGTAGAGTTGCAAAATTCCGGTTACTTTCCCAAAATTCCCAGACATTTTCAGAAATCCTGGTTAAAAACAAGTGAAGTTTTTGTCCTGATCAAGCCACAGTCTAATTCCCTTAAAGCCACAGTCTGTAATTCCCTTAAAGCCACAGTCTAATTCTCTCTCTGTTTAAAAGTAATGCACAAATAAAGGAGTTCCAGCGCTCCACTCCACTGAAGCTTCTAAAGCACAGCACAAATGCTTTAAATCATAACGCTGGGATGTGGTTGGTCTCTGGGGTCTTCAGGACTTTACGTGTGGTTGGTCTCTGGGTCTCCAGGACTTTACGTGTGGTTGGTCTCTGGGTCTCCAGGACTTTACGTGTGGTTGGTCTCTGGGCCTTTAGTCAAAAGTAGTACACTACAAAGAGTTTAGGGTGTCATTCGGGGACGCTGCCTCAGCCACATTCTGAGCGCTTCCAGTAGCCAATGAAAAACAGATTGATTTTGTGAAAGGAAGAACAGATTTGCCAGTGCACTCTAGTGCATGTACAGTCCAGTTCACTTCAGGACTCACATTTGCGTTTTTTTTTTTTTTTTTTAGTTCTCTCTACTTTGCAGCGACATCATCAGAGAGTTTGACAGTGATATCTGGTCTTTTTTTTTCTCTTCATATCACAACATTCCTCCAAACACAATCCTCCGGGGGGGACATTTCAGAGTTTTGTTGTTCTAAGCCATTACTGGAGAAAACCGACAGGATATATATATTTTTTTGCACGTACAGTAAAGCATCTGCAGCACAAACAGGCACATGTGATGTGACACATTTCGTGGTTGGTTAAAACTGTCGTTATAGTAGTCCCACACCTTATTCACATATTAACATCCCCCGACTCAGGACAATCAAGGCCGACAGTCTTATAATATCCACCATTCACACAGAATAGAAACGTACTGTACAATAAACCAGGCATCAAGACATGTATGTTGTCTATCCAGAAATACCAAACTAAATTAACCATGCATTTTACATGATTTAAATGGAGAGCATTAAACCTCTATCAAACTTCTGAATGGTAACATCTTCCCAGATATGTTTTTCAGCTGTTGTTTGACCAATGAACCAAAATACTTTTACAAATCAGCATGCTTTGAGGGCAACATTACTTACAGTCATTTTGCATAAACAACATTATTATTGTCCATTGTTATTTTTGGTAGCCACATACATACGTCACCAGAATCACTTCAGCCACAAGAAAAACCTCTACTTGTGTCATTCAGCAGTTAGCGCACAGCCAAGTCCAGACAAGACAAACACAGCCAAGTCCAGACAAGACAAACACAGCCAAGTCCAGACAAGACAAACATAGCCAAGTCCAGACAAGACAAACACAGCCATGCTGTGAGCTGCACCAGACCGGAGTGTGGTATGTCATAGCAGGCTGCTAAGCTAGCTGCCACATAGAGAAGAGCCAACATAGAAATAGAGTGACATAGAAAGGGTCAGACATCAATACCCCTCAGCCCTTGTTCTGCATAGTAAACATTACACAGGTAGGTCCCCCCCCCCCCCCCCCCATCCCCCATCGAAGCCAGGACACGACACAGGACAGGCTTGACAGGGTACAGACAGGACAGGCTTGACAGGGCACAGACAGGACAGGCTTGACAGGGCACAGACAGGACCAAGGGTTCCTGAGGGATGGAGAGCTGAAAGGGGAGGTGGAGGACAGTAACAGGGATGGGTGCAGGGGACAGAGGATGGGGACAGGGGACAGAGGATGGGGACAGGGGACTGAGGATGGGGACAGGGGACAGAGGATGGGACAAGGGACAGAGGATGGGACAAGGAAAACAGAGGATGGGGACAGGGGACAGAGGATGGGACAGGGGACAGAGGATGGGACAGGGGACAGAGGATGGGACAGGGGACAGAGGATGGGGACAGGGGACAGAGGATGGGACAGGGGACAGAGGATAGGGACAGGGACAGAGGATGGGGACAGGGACAGGTACGGGGACAGAGGATGGGGACAGGGGACAGGGGACAGAGGATGGGGACAGGGGACAGAAGATGGGGACAGGGGACAGAGGATGGGGACAGGGGACAGAGGATGGGACAGGGACAGTGGACGAGGATGGGGACAGGGACAGGTACGGGGACAGAGGATGGGGGACAGAGGGGGCGGAAGAGGGCGACGAGAGATGGGGACAGGGGGACGCAGAGGATGGGACAGGTCGGACAGAGGATGGGACATGGGGACACAGAGGATGGGGACAGGGACAGAGATGGGGGACAAGGTGGGGACAGGTATGGGACAGGGGACAGAGATGGGACAGGGACAGAGGATGGGGACAGGGACAGGTACGGGACAGAGGATGGGACAGGGACAGGTACGGGACAGGGACAGAGGATGGGGACAGGGACAGAGGATGGGGACAGGGACAGGTACGGGGACAGAGGATAGGGACAGGTACGGGGACAGAGGATAGGGACAGGTACGGGGACAGGGACAGAGGATGGGGACAGGGACAGGTATGGGGACAGAGGATGGGGTCAGGTACGGGGGCAGAGGATGAGGACAGGGACAGGTATGGGGACGGGGACAGGTACGGGGACAGGGACAGAGGATGGGGACAGGGACAGAGGATGGGGACAGGGACAGAGGATGGGGACAGGGACAGGTACAGGGACAGATGATGGGGACAGGTACGGGGACAGGGACAGAGGATGGGGACAGGGACAGAGGATGGGGACAGGGACAGAGGATGGGGACAGGTACGGGGACAGAGGATGGGGACAGGTACGGGGACAGGGACAGAGGATGGGGACAGGGGATGGGGACAGGTACGGGGACAGGGACAGAGGATGGGGACAGGTACGGGGACAGAGGATAGGGACAGGGACAGGTACGGGGACAGAGGATGGGGACAGGGACAGGGAAGGATGGTAGCTTAGTGGGTAAGAGCGTTGTGCCAGTAACCGAAAGGTCGCTGGTTCTAATCCCCGAGCCGACTAGGTGAAAAATCTGTCGATGTGCCCTTGAGCAAGGCACTTAACCCTAATTGCTCCTGTAAGTCGCTCTGGATAAGAGCGTCTGCTAAATGACTAAAATGTAAATGTAAATGTAAAATGATGGTAGGAGGGTTTCTGGTAACCGAAGAGGGCTTCTTTGGTGTGCAGGGGGAGAATGGGAATGCTTATGTTACCTGTGTGTGTGTGTGTGTGTGTGTGTACATATATATATATATATTCAGTGTACTGTGTGTATATATGTGTGTATGCTGCAGACGAGGTTCTGTATGTATTACAGGGACATAACATCACATGACTAACACTAAGGCCACTCGTGGTGATATCTCCTGCCATTCTTCTTTCTCTCCTTCTGCAGGTGCTCCAGCTCTGCTTCGTACATCATCTCCTGCATCAGGTACTTCTCCCTCCGCATGCGGTCACACAGACTCTTGGGCATGTCTGGGATCAGGTACGCGATGAACGACTTGAAGCCAAACACCAGGTGCTGAGGAGAGAAACGGAGGATGAGGAAGACTTTGTTGTCCATTGTCATTTTCAGATCACGGAAATTCAACATGGGGCAAAACAAACTCCCTGAGGGGTTTTTACGGGGGGGGGGGGGGGGGGGGGGGGGGGGCATCTAGGATATCTAGAATCCCCAGAGGACCACAGGACTGGTGAACCTCAGGTTGCAGGCCTTACCTCTCTAATCCTCGGCAGTATGGGAAGGTATGTGCAGGTCATTGCATCATGCTACCTAAAGTCTGACACACCTAATCAGTGTATGAGACTGAGAACTAGATTGAGGCGAGAGGATAGGAGAGGCAAGTGATCTACGCTACCGTTCAAAAGTTTCGGGGTCACTTAGAAATGTCCTTCTTTTTATTGGCCAGTCTGAGATATGGCTTTTTCTTTGCAACTCTGTCTAGAAGGCCAGCATCCCAAAGTCGCCTCTTCACTGTTGACGTTGAGACTGGTGTTTTGTGGGTACTATTTAATGAAGCTGCCAGTTGAGGACCTGTGAGGCGTCTGTTTCTCAAACTAGACACAGTAATGTATTTGTCCTCTTGCTTAGTTGTGCACCGGGGCCTCCCACTCCTCTTTCTATTCTGGTTAGAGCCAGTTTGCGCTGTTCTGTGAAGGGAGTAGTACACAGCGTTGTACGAGATCTTCAGTTTCTTGGCAATTTCTCGCATGGAATAGCCTTCATTTCTCAGAACAAGAATAGACTGACGAGTTTCAGAAGAAAGTTATTTGTTTCTGGCCATTTTGAGCCTGTAATCGAACACACAATTGCTGATGCTCCAGATACTCAACTAGTCTCAAGAAGGACAGTTTTATTGCTTCTTTAATCAGCACAACAGTTTTCAGCTGTGCTAACATAATTGCAAAATGGTTTTCTAATGATCAATTAGCCTTTTAAAATGATCAACTTGGATTAGCAAACACAACGTGCCATTGGAACACAGGACTGATGGTTGCTGATAATGGGCCTCTGTATGCCGATGTAGATATTCCATTAAAAATCAGCCGTTTCCAACTACAATAGCCATTTACAACATTAACAATGTCTACACTGTATTTCTGATCAATTTGATGTTATTTTTATGGACAAAAAAATGTGCTTTTCTTTCGAAAACAAGGACATGTCTAAGTGACCCCAAACTTTCGAACGGTAGCGTATATAGCGAGAGAGACAGATCTCAGACATAGAGAGTAGACGATGGCCCTAACCCTGTGATGTTTGCTGATCTGAAGGGTCTAGATAGGTATAATCAGTGTAGTTAGGAGAGAGTGAGAGAGAGAGGGATTTCTGACGTACCTCGAAGATAATAATTATAATAATTAATAATTATTATAAGACTAGGATTAAGGCCAGGTGGGCAGCCAGGACGTGTCAGACAGACAGACAGAGCGTGGGCGTGCTGACCTACCTCGAAGACTATGATGAAGGCTAGTCTTGCAGCCAGGACGTGCCAGAACTGCAGAGTGAAGTCGTATGGTACTGGGCTCCAGGGAGAGGCTCTGTAGTCTCTGTACCTGCAGTATCTACTCTGCTCCTCACTCACGTTCCAGCGCACGCCCATGTCAAACACCGACAGGCTGCTGTTCATGTAGCCTCGCAGACACCTGCCATGGAGAGAGATGGGGGGCTCAGAACCATGGACTACAAATGGAAAATTAGCCGGTTGTCTAAATCTAGCACATTCACAGAAATGCACGTTGATCAACGTCCTGTCAAATGAGCCTAAAGTAAAGTAAAGAAAACGAACACTGGGACACGTGGCCCAATAGAATGGTTGGCTAAATCTGCACCGCTAAATCAGACAGTAGACATTGATGACCAAAGCGGGAGTAGAGGAGGACCTACTTCTCGTGGCGGTATCCCTCGTCCACACAGGGTCCGTATCTGAACGCGTAGACGAAGCGGGGGATGTAGTCGGAGGTGATGGCGATGACGAAGGCGTTGGTGATGACAGCCAGCACGCCGATCCCCTCCAGGATACCATGCCAGATACCTGTCAGACAGGGACAACAGGGACACCAGCCTGTCAGACAGGGACAACAGGGACAACAGCCTGTCAGACAGGGACACCAGGGACAACAGCCTGTCAGACAGGGACAACAGGGACACCAGCCTGTCAGACAGGGACAACAGGGACACCAGCCTGTCAGACAGGGACAACAGGGACACCAGCCTGTCAGACGGGGACAACAGCCTGTCAGACAGGGACAACAGGGACACCAGCCTGTCAGACAGGGACAACAGGGACAACAGCCTGTCAGACAGGGACAACAGGGACACCAGCCTGTCAGACAGGGACAACAGGGACACCAGCCTGTCAGACAGGGGACAACAGCTGTCAGTACATAGACAACAGGGACACCAGCCTGTCAGACAGGGACAACAGGGACACCAGCCTGTCAGACAGGGACAACAGGGACACCAGCCTGTCAGACAGGGACAACAGGGACACCAGCCTGTCAGACAGGGACAACAGGGACACCAGCCTGTCAGACAGGGACAACAGGGACACCAGCCTGTCAGACAGGGACAACAGGGACAACAGCCTGTCAGACAGGGACAACAGGGACACCAGCCTGTCAGACAGGGACAACAGGGACACCAGCCTGTCAGACAGGGACAACAGCCTGTCAGACATAGGACAACAGGGACACCAGCCTGTCAGACAGGGACAACCAGGGACACCAGCCTGTCAGACAGGGACAACAGGGACACCAGCCTGTCAGACAGGGACAACAGGGACACCAGCCTGTCAGACAGGGACAACAGGGACACCAGCCTGTCAGACAGGGACAACAGGGACACCAGCCTGTCAGACAGGGACAACAGGGACAACAGCCTGTCAGACAGGGACAACAGGGACACCAGCCTGTCAGACAGGGACAACAGGGACACCAGCCTGTCAGACAGGGACAACAGCCTGTCAGACATAGACAACAGGGACACCAGCCTGTCAGACAGGGACAACAGGGACACCAGCCTGTCAGACAGGGACAACAGGGACACCAGCCTGTCAGACAGGGACAACCAGGGACACCAGCCTGTCAGACGGGGACAACAGCTGGTCAGCAGAGAAACCAACTCAGAAAAAGGACTCAAGAGCACAACGGTAGGAAACGGCATTTCCGACTTGGGACTCAAACCAGCAACCTTCTGATTGCAGGCCCACCTCAAATTAGGCTACCTGCTGGTTCGACTCACGTTTTCTTCACCTGTGATAAACAGCACAGACATTAAAAACCACTACTGACCAATGTCTGTGGCTCTGGCAGGCATGGGCCTTCTCCACTGAGTGACAAACTTGTAGGCATCCAGACGTATCTCGATGATGTTGTTGAGCAGAGCCAGGAGAGGAGCCAATGGGAACGCAGCTACGAAGATGGTGGTGAAACCAAACTGGAGAACTGAGTAGGAGAAAAGAGTAGGAGCAAGACGAGGAAGAACAAATAAAGAAGAAGAAAAAAAAAGAAAAAAGAACGAAGAAGGAGGAGGAAGGAGGAAGTGGTTATGGTCGGTTTGAGCATCCTGTGGTGGGCCTCAGTAGAAGTCCTCTGTAGAACAAAGTGACCTCGGTCTAAGGCTAACTGAATACAGGCACAGGGGCAATGTAACAGATTTAACCATAACCACATTCTTATTGATTTAAAAAATAAACCATCACAGAACCATCAAGGACCATATTGAAATAAGTGTTGTCCTCTGGGCTTTGTAGTTTTTAACTGTTCATGAATGTTATTTAAAACAGGGAAGTTAATTGAGATGTCAAGGTAACATAAATAGCTGAAATGTCTTAACCCATCTCCAGGTACTCGTCCACCAGTCCGTGGGCGTTCATGGGCTGCAGGTTCCAGTCTTTGTCCCATTGAGGAAGCTGTACTTTGTTCTCCACATTCTGTCCCCCTCCTGTCCTCTCCTTCCTCTCTGTCCGCTTGATTTTCCTGCGAGACCACCAGTTCTGAAGCAGACTAGAACGAGAGAGAGAGAGAGAGCGAGGGGAAGCGAGAGCGGGAGAGAGAGAGAGAGAGAGCGAGGGGAAGCGAGAGCGGGAAAGAGAGCGAGGGGAAGCGAGAGAGGGAGAGAGAGAGAGAGAGAGAGAGAGAGAGTGAGGGGAAGCGAGAGCGGGAGAGAGAGAGAGCGAGGGGAAGCGAGAGGGAGAGAGAGAGAAAGAGAGAGAGAGAAAACGAGAGAGGGAGAGCGAGGGGAAGAGAAAGAGAGAAAGCGAGAGAGAGAGAGAGAGAGAGAGAGAGAGAGAGAGAGAGAGAGAGAGAGAGAGAGAGAAAGCAAGAGACGGAGCGAGAGGGGGGAAGCGAGAGAGAGAGAGAAAGCGAGAGAGAGAGAGAGAGAGAGAGAGAGAGAGAAAGCGAGAGAGAGGAAGAGATGATCTTCCTGTCAGACCACCAGTTCTGCAGTAGACTGAAAACACTGAACAATACAGTTAAACTTTAGCTAACTGTAAACTCAAACCCAATTGTCCCTGACGAAGCCCTGTAGGAGCACTAAGCTGAGCATGCACGGAGAAGGATTTGATGTGGGGGTTTTTCAGCTGAACAAAATACTTTTCATGTGGTAATGAGAAGAGATCTTGAGCATCTCCGTGTGCTGTACAGAAACACACACAACCAGGCTCAACATTACCACCGTTTTATGCAATGCTGAGTTTACACAGGCAGTAGAAATCTTATATTTTTCCACTAATTGGTATTTTGACCAATCAGATAAGATTCTTTGCCAATAATTGGGGAAAAGAAGATCAGAACTGTGCTTCCTGTGTAAACGCAGCTTCCTGTACGCAGCTTCCTGTGTAATCGCAGCTTCCTGTACGCAGCTTCCTGTGTAAACGCAGCTTAACACACATCCAGCAGAAACACTGGGCGAAACTGTAAAAACTGTTAAGAAAAAAATATATAGATTTTGGCATTTTATTTGTCTTTTATTAGGATCCCCATTAGCTGTGGCGAAAGCTGCAGCTACTCTTCCTGGGGTCCACACAAAACATGAAACATGACATAATACAGAACATTAATAGACAAGAACAGCTAAAGGACAGAACTACATGAATTTAAAAACGGCACACATAGCCTACATATCAATACATACACACACAAAATATCTAGGTCAAATAGGGGAGAGGTGTTGCGCCGTGAGATGTTTTTTTGAAAACAGGTTTGCTGTCCATTTCAGCAAAATGAGATGGAAGGGAGTTCCATGCAATAATGGCTCTGTATAATACTGTATGTTTCGTTGAATTTGTTCTGGACCTGGGGACTGTGAAGAGACCCCTTATGGCATGTCTGGTGGGGTAAGTGTGTGTGTCAGAGCTGTGTGTAAGTTGACAATGCAAACAATTTGAAATTTTCAACACATTGTTTCTTATATAAATAAGAAGCGATGCAGTCAGTCTCTCCTCAACTCTTAGCCAAGAGAGACTGGCATGCATAGTATTTATATCAGCCCTCTGATTACAATGAAAAGCAAGATGTGCCTCTGTTCTGGGCCAGCTGCAGATTAACTAGGTCTTTCTTTGCAGCACTTGACCACATGACTGGACAATAATCAAGATAAGACAAGACTAAAGTCTGCAGGACTTGCTTTGTGGAGTGTGGTGTCAAAAAACTGTGGCTTCCCTCCAGGCCTGAGAACAAAGACTTTCCTCTAGGCTTAGATTAAAGATATGACATATAGGAGTGGCTATAGAGTCAGCTACCATCCTCAGCTTTCCATCTAAGTTGTCAATGCCAGGAGGTTGACATAATATCTTTACAAAATCGATCTAACTTTGCCAAATTAAAACTTACAATGCTTTTCTTTCATTATTTGTTTTTTTAATGCATGAATACAATGGCTCACTGTTCGTTGTTGGCATTTCCTTCCTAAGTTTGCCCACTTTGTCAATGAAGTCATCATTAAAATAATTGGCAACATCAAAATGGTTTTGTGATGAATAAGCCATCTGATTCGATGAAAGACGGAGTTGAATTTGTCTTTCTGCCCATAATTTCATTTAAGGTACTCCAAAGTTTCTATCATTGATCTTGGCTTCATAATACAGTTTCTTCTTCTCTTTGTTGAGTTTAGTCACAATTTCTCAATTTGCAGTAAGTCAACCAGTCAGATGTGCAGCCAGACTTATTCCTCATCAATCCATGGAGCCTTAACAGTTCTAACAGTCAGTTTCTTAACAGAAGCAATTTCATAAATTCATGAAGTGCGGCGTCTGGATGCTCCTTATTAATCACATCAGACCAACACATATTTTTAACATCATCCACATAAGAGTCACAGCTAAATATTTTGTATGATCTCTTTTACACTATTTTAGGCCCAGCTTTTGGAACTTATACTATATGCCAATGGGTACGGATACAGCTTTTAGAACAAAGTTCTACAGTATTAGTAAAAATGTGATCAATACATGTGGATGATCTTGTTCCTGTAGTGTTTGTGAACACCCTGGTAGGTTGATTAATAACCTGAACCAGATTACAGGGAACTGGTTACAGTGAGAAGCTTCCTCTTGAGCGGACAGCTTGATGAAAACCAGTCACCAAGAAAGTAGACCTCTCTGTTTACATCACATACACTATCAAGCATTTCACACATATTATTTACTGACTGTTAGCATTTGGCAGGTGAACCTGCAATCACAGAACTTCAATAACACTTGACATGAGATCTTCTCTAAGCATTACAGGGATATGACTCTGAATGTACTGTATATAGCAACACCTCCCCCATAAGCATTCCTGTCTCTTCTATAGATGTTATATCCTTGTATTGCTAAGTGAGTCTCAGAAATGGCTAATATATGAATGTTATCTGATGTTAGCAAGTTATTGAATGGGGCCCCGTGTAGCTCAGTTGGTAGAGCATGGCGCTTGCAACGCCAGGGTTGTGGGTTCGATTCCCACGGGGGGCCAGTATGAAAAATGTACGCACTCACTAACTGTAAGTCGCTCTGGATAAGAGCGTCTGCTAAATGACTAAAATGTCAATGTAAAAATTTAATTAACCTTATTTCTAAGGCTACATATACTATAATAATAATAATAATAATAATAATAATATGCCATTTAGCAGACGCTTTTATCCAAAGCGACTTTTTTTTGTGTATGGGTGGTCTACTACATGACCAAAAGTATGTGGACACCTGCTCCTCTAACATCTCATTCCAAAATCATGGGCATTAATATGGAGTTGGTCCCCCCCCCCCTTTGCTGCGATAACAGCCTCCACTCTTCTGGGAAGGCTTTCCACTAGATGTTGGAACATTGCTGTGGGGACTTGCTTCCTTTCAGCCACAAGAGCATTAGTGAGGTCGGGCACTGATGTTGGGCGACTAGGCCTGGCTCGCAGTCGGCGTTCCAATTCATCCCAAAGGTATTCGATGGGGTTGAGGGTAGGGCTCTGTGCAGACCAGTCAAGTTCTTCCCCACCAATCTCAACAAACCATTTCTGTATAGACCTCACTTTGTGCAGGAAAGGGCCTTCCCCAAACGTTTGCCACAAAGTTGGAAGCACAGAATTCTCCAGAATGTCATTGTATGCTGTAGCGTTAAGATTTCCCTTCACTGGAACTAAGGGGTCTAGCCCGAACCATGAAAAACAGCCCCAGACCATTATTCCTCCTCCACCAAACTTTACAGTTGGCTCTATGAATTGGGGCAGGTGGCGTTCTCCTGGCATCCGCCAAACCCAGATTAGTCTGTCGGACTGCCAGATGGTGAAGCATGATTCATCACTCCAGAGAATGCGTTTCCACTGCTCCAGAGTCCAATTGCGGCGAGCTTTACGCCACTCCAGCCGACGCTTGGCATTGCGCATGGTGATCTTAGGCTTGTGTGCGGCTGCTTAGCCATGGAAACCCATTTCATGAACTTCCCGACGAACAGTTATTGTGCTGACGTTGCGGACAGAAGATTTTCAGCACTCTGCGGTCCCATTCTGTGGGCTTGTGTGGCCTACCACTTCGCGGTTGTTGCTTCTAGACATTTCCACTTCACAATAACAGCACTTACAGTTGACTGGGGCAGCTCTAGCAGGGCAGAAATTTGACGAACTGAGTTCTTGGAAAGGTGGCATCCTATGACGGTGCCACGTTCAAAGTCACTGAGTTCTTCAGTAAGGCCATTCTAATGCCAATGTTTGTCTTTGGAGATTGCATGGATGTGTGCTCAATTTTATACACCTGTCAAATCAAATCAAATTTTATTTGCCACATGCGCCGAATACAACAGGTGTAGACATTACCGTGAAATGCTTACTTTCAGCCCTTAACCAACAACCAAGATAACAGTCTATGACAAGGGTGGCTGGAGTCTTTGACCATTTTGAGGGCTTTCCTCTGACACCGCCTGGTATAGAGGTCCTGGATGGCAGGAAGCTTGGCCCCGGTGATATACTGG